CAAATATTAAAATGAGAGCACAAGGAACTTGGTATAAAGCACAAATTACATTCAAAGATAAAGAATCCATGAGCAAACTTGGTGATAAATGGTCAATTATGTACTTAAAAGATAGTTGTAGAATTGCACCATTGGATGTTACCAAAGAAGAAATAGACGAAAGAAATAGTCGTACTCTAAAACTCACTAATCTGCCATATGGCACAACAGCATATGATTTACATGATATTATGTTAGCAGTAAAGGCTAAAACTTGTTTTATTACAAGAACAAGACAACAATACACCAGAAAAAGATTTGCTTACATAACTTTTGAAAATGATGAAGATATGAAAAATGCATGTCTGACAAATTTTGCCTTCAGAAACAATAAACTCTCTTGGGAAAGTGATGAACACAAAACATGTCATAAATGTGGTAACAGTGATCATTTAATAGCTGTTTGTCCAGAAAAAGAAAAAAATGATGAAATTAAACAAAAAAATGCATGTCTGCAAGGACTTTATCATAAATATAGAGTTCCTCAGCCAAAATCAAATTCACAAAAAGCTCAACAAAGATTTATTGAACCAAATAATTCAATTAAAAGAGTTTCTTATGCAGAAAAAACAAAAAATTCAAAACAAATATTTAAACAAAATGAATCAAATTTAAAAATGAATGTTAATAATAATATTAAAAAAAATGAGAACATAGTAGAAATCATGAAAAACATTCAAAAAGATTTAAAAAAAATAATGCTAGACATAGAAGAAGTAAAGAAGAGAGTAGAAGCATTGGAGAATAATGCTGGCACAAATTTATCAAATACTTCAACTCAACATAAAACAACTGAAAATAAATTTCAAAATAACTCATCTAAAGTTAATTCACAAAAAGGAAATAATAAATTAGATATTTCAATTTTGTCAAAAGGAAAAAATATTCCTTCTACATCCAAACATACACAAAAAAGAAAAAAAATGAATGAATCAAGTGATGAATCTCTTAATGCAGAGATTAATGATGAAATAAATGATGAAATAAATGAATTGAAAATTAAACAAAATAATATTGAACACAACACAAAACAAATGAACAAAAAAATAAACAAAATCCTCAATATTTTTGAAAATCAAGAAAGGATTGCCAAAGATCTTCAAACATGTAGGGTAAAATCTATTAGCTCTACAGTGCACAACAATATATCTTTAGATTGTATTCATGCAAATAAAAAGACTTGGGATAAAATTTCAACCCTTCTTGCACAAATTGGTCCACCAGTTGAAAGTCAGAAGAAAGATTTTGCTGTCATTGGAACAAATCATTTTGAAACAAATAATCAGCTTTTTTCAGAATTTATGCGTAGAAATGCAAATAGAAATATTGATTCAATAGTATCTAAAGAAATATTTTACAAAGGAGGTATTTCAAAGGTTAGTTATAAATTTATATTATCCTTTTGTTTTAAATAAAATCAAAATAAATTAAATTAAAATAGGAACTAAAACAATTTTTCTTTTAGGAAAAAAGGCCCATATTTTATTTAATTTTACGTAGGCTTGAGCCCGATTGCATAGATATGGATCTTTTGATGTATCATATTTTACATGTAAGTGTTTATTAGGATTCTGTGATGTTGTATTATATTTATTGAATAAGTTGGTTGAGATTATTTTATTGTATTTTTTTTTTGTAGACTATTGAGCCATTTATGATCAAACCATATGAAATTCTCATTGACTTGACTAAATCTGGGCAATCTAATGAAATACAATCTCAATGGATTCAACAATTTATTCTAATTCTTCCATTCCATACCGTTGATAACCTAACTACATTATATTTTTATAATGCAAATACAGCTTTTAGGAATTTCTCCAAAAAATTTCCATATATCCTTTTTTTATAAATCAAAATTTTATATTTTTGTTTAGAGTAAAATGCATATTTCTTTAATTAAGATATACATCCCCTTTCTAACAAATTATTAAAAAAAATAGTATTTCTATGCAGTTTGAATGAATTACATGAATATATTATGTCACATGAAGTTCGATTACCAAAAGACACAGGTTAGCTAGCTAAACAATTAAATGATTATATAAATTTATAAAGTTATTTTATAATCTAATTAAATGATATTATGATTCATTTAGTACAACTTGATACAGATAATACCCTTACATCATATAGTCAAATTTTAAAATTAGCACATTATAAAACACCAACACAAGTGATTATGAAAATTGGTAGTGAAAATATCCAAATTATAACGGTAGGATTGTTAAAATATGTTGAAATTTTATCAATTTTTTATTTCAACATTATGTAATTTTATAATAGGCCAAAAAACAAGATCTAATTTTTGGATTGAGCTGTCAACTTAACGATGTATTTCATATATCAGAGATTGAGGACATAACATTTTCATCTAATGAAAGTGATAACAATGAATTTGCAATTAAACAAAATGGTAGACCTTCATTTACATTTACAAGTCAAATAAGGGACACAATTATCCAGGTAAAATATAACAAATTTTCTAATACAGCTATAATTTTAATATTTCTTTTTATATATTTATTTTCTTCAATTTACATTCTTTTAAGGCCATTCGCACTTCTAAAGCAAGATACCAGATAGCAAAACCCATTAAAGACACCGAAAGAATTTTGAGACCAAATGATGTACCAGGAACTTTGTTAAATATGGCATTATTCAATATTATAAGCGAAGATCCTAACCTTAGACTAGCTGCATATAATTTGTTAGTTTCTTTAAGTAATGTATTTAATTTTGATATGGGAAATCAATTATTGGCCACAAAAGGTATACTTGAATTTTATCATCATCACCATATCATTATTTTTTTTAATAATTAATTATAATATATATACATCATCAATATTTTAGGATTATGTATTCCAGCAAACAATACAAATTTTGTAGTTGGAATAAGTGAAAAACTTGCTGCTTCAGAAAGTCGACTTACTCTTGATTTTCTAATGGAATTTTTTGTTGGTTTTAATAAGTCAAGTGTGCCAATAAAACATTTATGTCTTCAATATATGGCTCCTTGGTTGTTAAATTTAGGTCAATTTATTAAAAATCCATCAGGAAATTCGCAAACAGTTGATAAAACAAGAGACATAATCCAAAAACTGATTGATCTGACAGCAAGAGAAACTAATGTATGAATTTTTATAATGCTATTCTTTAGATCATTTAAATTTTAAATTAAAGCCTTTTTTGATATTTTATATTAGTTATATACCACGGTTCAATCTAAAATTTGGAGTACTTTAGCCAAAGTAAATGAAATTACCGATTTAATAATTGATGAATTTTTACAATATGCTGTTGAACATGGTATAAATTCTATGCAATCTGAAACTGTAGCCAATACCATAGTAACTTTCTCTTCACCAAGCATCCGTGGAAAAGTAATAGCCAAATTGAGAAAGGTACCTAAATTAATGTGTGTGAGGGATTAGATCAGAATTTATTTTCAAAATTTCTATTAATAATATATATTTAGGTAATTGCAGGAACTTCTTTAAAAGCAACAAGAACCCTTACAGACAACCCTGCATGGCCTGAAATTGCAGCTTTGGTTCGATTTAATTTAATGTTATCGTTTAATGATGAAAATATTCACCAATATCTGCCTGAATTATTTTATATTGTTTCTATTTTGGTAGCAACTGGCCCTCCGATTATAAGGGCATCAATTCATGGACTTATTGTAAACTTAGTTCAATCACTGTGTACATCAGTTCCATTAGAAGATTCCAATATGACAAAACTCAGTTTATTATTGAATGAATTATCTGAACCTAATTACCGTTACTTTTTTGGATTAAACAATGTTTTTGGAAATGCCTTTGTGATTTCTCCAGAATCTATTAATGATATATCAGATAGTATGCCTTTAGCATCATTAGAAAAGATTGTTCAAGCTCTTTTGGATGTGATGATATTTGGTTCTGCTTCAGCTGGTGGGTTAATAATAAATGTTTACTAATTTTTTACCTATGTATTAGATTTTATAATATAAATATTAAACTGAATTGATATATATGCTTCACATACATCTATATATTTATATAGATATGTCAAATGTATGGAGAGCACGTTGGTTGGGGCTTGTTGCAAGTACAGCTTTTCAACATAATCCAGCAATACAACCTAGAGCATTTGTAACGTTAGGATGTTTGGCACGTGAAGAAGTTGATGATGATCTTTTATATCAAATATTGGTAGCATTGAGAGGAGCATTGTTAATGTTTACAGAAAATGATTGTTTGCTTATAATAAGCATTGTTATGTGTCTTACAAACATTGTAGAAAATTTACCATCAGGTTCACGTTATTTGTTACCATTATTTTGGCTAGCCATTTCACTAATTCAAATTGGTCATGTTCCAATATTTCCAAGTGCAATATCACTATTACAAGAAGTTTTACGGACTCTAGATAACAATAATGTCTTTGAAAATAAAGATATTGCTAAAGTACTTCTAAATGCTAGAATTCCATTGGAAGAAATCAGCATAAAAATGGACAGCGAAACAGGGTTAAATTTTGAGTATTTTTCATTCGCGATTGCAGCTACATTACTTAAAGGATTGAAAAATCCAATCACGAAAACTGGTACTCAAAGTTTATTAATGTCATTTTTAGACATAGCATCTAGAGTTGGGAATAAACGTCAAAATGACATTATAGATGCTAGTATGCTAGGTTATCTCGCAGCATTATTGCCAGTATCGGCCAATAACCAGGATATGAAAGAATTGTTATGGCTTTGTGGAATTGATGATTGCGAGATTGATAATCCCGAATTAACAACAACCTATTTTAGAATGTATGATAAATTGGACATACCAAATGACAAAGTCGCTTTTCTATTAATTTCATTGATGATAGCAATTTTAGATAATGCAGAAAACGAGTCTGAAAAATTGTTCCTTTATGGATTTTTGGCCGAAACTGCTAAAGCACTACCTGATGTTTTTTCATTGGTGTATCCTTTTTTTTCATTTTTACATTTTAATTATTTACATGTTTAAATTCAAATTTTCCTTAACACAGATTAATAAAAATAACATCATCATCATCACTATTATTAACAGATATGACAATTTGCGTCCCAAATTGGCACATATGATAAATAATTGTGAGACGATATCGATTCTTGATTCAGTCCAATCCATTCTTTACACAATTGTATCATCGGAAACTGAACTCCAGTTAAAGGGTAGTAAAAAAAAAATGCCATCGTATCTTGAAGAGCTTGGATTTTCTAATTTGATGGAATGTGGTTCATTTCAAAATATTACTAAAGAAAAAATGAAGATAAATGCGTTACTAGCAAGTGATTTGGTTGATAAAATAATAAATGGATAAAAAAAATAATTCTAATATATATATATATATATATATATATAATTTTTTTGATAATACAATAATTAATAACAAAAAAAAAAAAAATGAATAAATCAAAGAATTCCTTCACATTGGTTAATTAACTGAATTATTAGTCAATGCAGTGTAGAGAAATCAAATCTTTTTAATTAATTTAATTGTCCATATTGATTCTTTATTACACAGCGAGTCATGATTTAGTGGATTTTGATTTAGTTGATTGAGTTCTATAATTAAATCCCGATATAATGGATTTTTGAAAGTATTGTCTGGTAAAAGATTCGTTGTGTAATGATGCCTTGCTTTTCATTAGGATCTCTGATGAACTAGTTTTTAATTAGAAAACAATCAACTGCGGCATGCCTTCGCTCTTTTGTTAACGCCAGTTATTTACGATTATTTTAACAGCTATGACCGATTATGGCTTAACTTTTGGGTGACTCTTGTCAGTTAATTGCTATTTCTATTTTTTTTTTGTCATCGTGAAAATACAAAAATGCATGTCATCGTTATACTAAGATAAAATCGTTATATTTTAAGAACTTTTTCGATCAATTAATGGGGGGATCTTAGCAAACAATAAATATTATTTCTTCGATCAATTAATGAGAAGGATAGACAAATAAGCCATTGCTATTAATTGATCAATTAATAAACAATAAAGATCTATTACTTTTTCGATTAATTAATGAAAGGGATCTTAACAAATAATAAACCATTATTTTTTTGGCCAATTAACGAGAAAGATTTTAACAAAGAAAGAACTATTGTTTTTAGAAAAAAAGTCGTCTTGATCGGGACATTCAAAAAAGTTTGTTCTATATTTCCATTCGATAGGTTAAGGGCAGAACTTTTATTAAATATATTTTAATACGAAATACTTTCACTATTGGTTTTTAATTACATGCTGACATCTTGATTTTTTTATCAAAATTGATTAGAAATAAATCAGGAGTTGGATTCCACTTTTCTATGATGAATCGTCTCACATCTTTTAAATTTTAACTTCTATCACATTTTTTTTTTTTTTTCCGATGTCATCGTAATGTTATTTTTTATTGGTTATTTCAAATAAATTTACATAGTAAAATAAATAAACAATTTAAAAAAAAAACAAATACCCCCCGTATCTAATTGAATTAGACCGTTTGAGCCGACAGATCACCGCATTTTCTTTCCATGTGGCTGTTAATTCCTAAGAACAACATTTAATAATTGTAACCACACTTCAACAAGAAAGTTTAGTGACTTGTCACGAAGACATCCATGGGACTCCAAATCTAATATTATTTGATATCCAATTTGATAATATTATTTTATTATCATTTATATTTTTATTTTTATTAACATTTCTGCTAATAATATTATTATTGTGACTATTATTGTTATTATTGTTTTTATTATTATTGTTGTTGTTTTTATTTCTTTTCATATGTTTGTTTATACCAAAATGTATTTCTGTATTTATAACCTCCTGACAACGTATTTTCCATATTTTTTCTTTGATTAGAACATTCATGTTTTCCATAACACTACATAATATTTTTTTAATTTTTTCTTCTTTTCTTATATAACATTTCATATGATCATAGAGGTCTTTTGGTATAATTCCTTTTATTATATCAATGAATGTGATTTGGTTTTTGTCTTGGTATATTCTCCAATATGTTTTCTCATCAAACATATTTCCAGGAGCCAAATGATTTATTTCTTTTATTTGTTTTACTAGGTTTTGTTTTGTCTCTTGAATTATATTGTTAATTGTTTCTCTTTGTTTTTCACATAACCAAATGTGTGAAAAATCTTCATTGTCTTTGTTGCAAAGGCAACACTTCCAGTTATTATCATATAAATCTGGACTTCGTAATTTAAGGCTTTCAATAGTTGGTAATTCTTCTATTAACTTTTTAACTTTGAAAGATTTTTTATTACTAGCATTAAATGATGTTTTAGTGTTTTCTTCACCATTAGAATTTAGTATTATCCAAGTCATTGGCCAGTTAATTAAAGTTTGTTCCGATTTGTCATATTTAATATTTCTATTTTTTTGTTTCCAAATTAAAAAGCTTTTTGCTTCTGTGCAATTTTTTAAAAAGAGCCTTAATGATATCTCAATTCTTATGTTATTGAAAGATGGTTGACACTTAAAATTTGGTAATTGATCATATTTGATTTCCAACAGATCAGAGTCCAAACCTAATTTTGCTAGAAAGTCTGATTTTTCATTAAAAAAAATACCATTGTGTGCTTTCACTTTTTTTATTTGTATTTTTTGTTTTAGTTCAGTTACTGTATCTTGTATTATGCCCCATAATAAATAATTATTTTCTTTCACCAATCTTCTTGTACTTATATATTCATTTTTTATTATTAATCTATCAAAAAATTTTATAGTAGTTTCACTGTCACTGAAAATAGTAATATTACTCTCAGGTGGAGATACAAGTAATGCAGATAGTATAGCTAAAACCTCTGTTTTTGTTGAAGAAGGCCAGTTTTCAACTGATGCTGAGAAGGTTAATTGTTCATTTTCTTGATTTGTTTGTATCCAACCAATACCCATTTTTACTTTTTTAGTGTTGATTTTATTTAAGGATCCATCTGTATAAAATTCTAAATTTTGAGAGTTGTTTAATAGTTTACTGTGTTCTATTAATTTGTAACTACACATGTTGTCCTTGGTGTATTTCTTAATCATGTTAATATTGTGAGAAGCAATTTTAGATAATATAATATTATCATTATTAACAATATTGTTACTGCTATTGCTATTGTTATTAAACCATATTTTGTAAAAAAGTCTTTTTGCCTTAGCTTTAATCTCAAATATTGAAACATTTGTTTCATATGATTCAGTTAATTTGATTTTCTTTGCATTAAAAATGACTGCTTCTTTGTAGTTGTACCAGTTGTTACATAAGTGTATAATTGTGTGTTCATATCTTTTTATAGGCACATGGCAAGGACATCCTTGACATTTGTTAATCAGAGACCTATTAACTGATGGTGAGGCATTAATGTTTATGTTTGGAAAGTATGGTATCCAATGTTCTACTAATATTTTACCATTGAAAGAATCTTTTTTGACAATTCTTCCAAGTATTGAATCTTTTAAATTATTGTTCCAAATTGCTACCCAATTTTTACTGTTTTGATCCATATCAAGGGGTTCAAGATTTAAAGGAATAAATTTAGTTGAACATAGAGTAAAAGTAGGTTTGAGTTTTCGTGAAATTGAAAAATCTTCCAACACTAATTGTTGTATTTTATGGAACCATTTAGGATCAGTTTTTCCTGAATTTCTGTATATTTTATACCTGGCAGCAAGATCTTTTCTAGTTATCAGATAATTTCTATCTTGTGACACTAATTGATCTAAGAACATGAGATTGTATTTCTTTAGTTTATTTGCATGTTGATAATATGTTTCCTTTAGTATATCTATTAATGGAAAATAACCACCTTTGATTTCATTTTTATTGTAAGGAGAAAATTGCAAAGGGGTATCCTTTATTAAAGAAAGTGTGGCTGCAATTATATTGCATTTTATTTTGTTGAAAGGGGCATCGTTTATTAATAATGGTGAAATTGGTAACCAGAGTTTTATTTGTAGTTGTTTTAGCCTAATATCTGTAATTTTTCCCAAGGTATGCTTATCATTGATTTGTATGTTTAGATTATTTAGTTGGCATCTTTGTTGTAAATCATACAAATCTATGACATTGTAGATATTATTGCATTGCATAATTACATTTGGTGCTTTTGAATTTATATGTAGTTTGTTTTTGAAGAATTTTCTGAAAATAGCCATGAAATTTGAAGCCTCATCTTTTGTAAATATGGTAAGTTGTGCTCTATATTCAATTCTTGGTATAATAATTTTGTTAAATATGTATATTAGTTGTTTATCTGTAAGAGGTTTTCTGGACATCATATTACATGATTTGTTGATTTCATTTATTATTTGATTTTTAACAAAGTTTTTTCGATTATTCAGATTAATCCAAACACCCAAAAATCTTACAGATTCTGATTTTGAAATTGGTTTGATATTGATTGTAGAATTGCCAAATTTTAGATTGATTATATTTTGTTCTTGATCAGTTTGTGAAGTTAGAAGTACTGATTTGTTTTTATTTATTTGAATATTGTTCAAGTTGTAAAAGTCATCTGCAATTTCTAGTATTTTTTCTAGATTTTCTTTGGATGTTGTGATCCAGGTTGTATCATCCATGTATGCGAGTGTTGATATTTCTGCAGATATTTTTGCTATTTCAGGTTTTGATATATCTGCTTTCCAATTTACTTCCATTTTGTAACCAATATTTTTTTGTTTTTTTATTTCACACAAAAGTGGATCATAATAAATACACCACAAAAGTGGTGAAATGACCTCACCCTGGTCAATTCCAACCAATACTTCATATGGATCTGTCTCGCCATGACATGTGATAACTTTATTTTTCCTTTTTGTAAAAAGGTTTATTATGAGATTTATGCATTTTTGAGGAAATTTGAGACGTTGCATAGCTTTTTCTAGCATTCTGATATTAACACAATCGTATGCTTTGGAAAGGTCCTGAAATAAAATCCAAATCTCTTTTTTGTATTCATTGGACTCTTCAATTATGGAATTAAGTGCTCTGATTGGTTCAAAAGTTGAACCACCAGGTAATCCAGCAAAATTATCTCCTTTTAGGATATTATTTTTTGCTAATATTTCGGAAAGTCGTTTATTTAGGATTTTCACCATTGCTTTCCTTACTGTTTCCAAAAGAGTTATAGGTCTTGTTTTATCTAAAAAACATTCCCAATCCATTGGTTTAGGGATGGGGTAAATTGTTGCTATTCTCCATTGGTTTGGTATTTCATTCATCTCAAAACATGCAGAAATTAATTTCCAGAGACATCTTCCAAAATTCTTTCCCAGATGTTTGATCATTTCATTGCTGATTTTA